TTGGTAGAGTGTTCCACACTGTTTCCCAGTTAGTCATGGTAGGATGTCTCTCCCTTTCTTCAATTAAAAAAAAAAGGCAACAAAGAACATCTTATTTCTGCCTTTTGTCTTTCCATCATAATCATTTGCCACCCCTAGATAGAACCCAGCCTTGTGACAAAAAAACCAATTAAGCAAAAACATCTGATAGACAAAATATATATCCTGAGTCTGACTAGAGGCAGCTTTCCTGTCCTACTAGTCCCTTACTTTGTGCCCTGGGAAGAGCTCAGTTTTCATTATCTTTTCTCTGGGACTTTCATGGGTTTCTGTTACTCAGATTTCAATTTCTTTTTAGTGATCTGTTCATTTACTTGTTGTAATTTTGTGTATTTGCAACAGTCAGTCAACAAGCGTCTCAGAGGGAAGTGGGGACAGGCTGGGGATCTGGGAAATAATGCCTCTTGCAGGGGGTGGGAAGACTCTTGAAGGAGTCAGGAGGCATTCCAGGCCTGTAGGACATGGAGCTGGAAGATAGGATGTCAGGGCCAGTGTCTGAGGGTGGTAGAGTCCTAAGAAGGGAGTAAAGTGTGAGACGACTTGGAAAGGAAGGCAGTAGCCAGTCTGTGAAGGCCTTTCAAAGCCTAACAAGATTTTGTTTGATCCTTGAGGTGATAAGGAGCATGGAGTGTGCAATGAGGTCATGCCTGTACTTAAGTACTTTGGGCAGCTGAGTGGAGGATGGACTGGAGCAGACCAAGCAAAGGGGATTTCAGTAGTGCAGGCGGGGAATGAGCGGGTATACCAGGACTGCACCAAGAAGGCAAGCAGAAGAGAAATTCTTCTTGGTTCTGCTTAATTCCACATCTGCTCATGTTTCCCTGTGACTTCCTCATCTGTTGTTTCTTACTACAGAATAGGATGCATTGTGTGCTAAGTGCTGAAGATACAAAGGAAAAGTCAGTGTTTGCGAGAAACTCCCAGTAATGGGGAAACCACATTCAAACTACTCTCTATAGACAAGGATCAATCAGATGATCAGCAGAAGGAAGGCACTAGGATTAAAAGGGGATGGGAAGCAGCTTCTTCTGGAAGGTGGGATTTTATGTTTATATTCACCTACTATAGCTTTTTCAGCCATTCCTCAATCAGTGGACACACACTTTTTTCAATTTTTTGGTATCTAAAAGAATGATAATCTGGACATTTGGGTCACATTGGACCTTTGTTTCTGGCTTTGACTTGCTTGGGGTATATGTCCTTCGGTAGGATTGTTAAATGGTATGCCTAGTTGAGTCATTAACCTTTAATTAAAATGTAGACTGTGTTGAGCACTTCACATCACCAGTAGTACATTGGTTTCCTGTTTTTCCACAATCCTTCCGACATTGACTGTTTCCGTCTTCTGCATCTTTGCCCATTTGCACAAAGCAAAGTAAAATTTCAGTTATTTTAATTTTCATGTCTCTGCCTATTAGTGATTTGGAGTCCCTTTCTTTGTCTGTCTCTTTGTGTGTGTCTCTGTCTCTGTCTCTCTCTCTGTTGTTGTTCTTGTCCATCTTTCTCTCTCTTTCACTGGTGCACAATAGAGAGAATGCTGGGCCTGGAGTTAGGAAGTTCAGATCCTGCCTCAGGCATATGTTAGCCTAGTCTCTTAACCTTTGTCTGCCTCAGTTTCCTCATCTGCAAAATGGGGATCATAATAGCACCTACCTAGAAGGGTTGTAGTGAGGATCAGATATTTGTCAAGCACATGGCATAGTACCTAGCGCATGGTAGATGCTTGATAAAGAATGCTTGTTCCCTTCCTTTACCTTTGTCTTTCTCCCCCTTACTTCTTTTCTTCACTTCCACATTTAATGAAATATCATAGTAACATATTAGCTATATTATATTTCCCCCATAAAACTGGAGCGCCATCTCTCACAAATAATACACAGCATTAGTTAGAAGAGACACATGTAAGAATCGAACACAAGGCGCATGTGTAGGGAACATGTTGGAGCACACACATATGGTGGGGCAGATAATGATTTCAGTGCTCCAGATCTGCCAGTGTTTTCAGGTGATATCTTTGAAGCGTATTTTCAGTGTGGTCATTTATAGTTTGTATTTCTTCTTTTGAAAATTGTTCATATCCTTTCTCCCCTTATTTTTATATCAATTCCCTGTATATTTTGGATATCAGACTCATTCATATTTGATGGCAATATGACCTTGACTATATAATTTTATCTTTGTTGATTTTATTTGTGTAAAAGCTTTTAATTTGATGTAACGAAAACGATTTTATGAACCCTATCCTTTGGTTAAGAATCCTCCTCCCTCCCCCATGGTAGACCACCTTGCAGTACACGTAATGAAACATTAGTGTCTTGTAAGAAATGATGAATGTAAGGGATATAGAAAAACATAAGAAGATTATTTTTTGAATTTGCTGCCAAGTGAAGTAAATAGAACTAGGAAGACTGCATACACAATGACGTCCACAATGTAAATGAAAAGAACAATAGCTGAGAAATTGTAGTGAGCAGACTTGTCCCCATCCCATCCATGGTGGTTGTTTATGGTGCTTCAGCATTGCATATGATGTCAGATTTCTTTTGATGTGTTGGTTTTCCTAGACTGTTTTTCACCTCTTTTTTTATTCTTGTTATAGGAGATGGCTCATGGGAGAGAAGGAAAAAGGGACCTATTGGGAAATAGGTGATATGAAACAAAAGAATAAAAATTTATTTTTAAAAAATGTTTCCTTGCCATAGTGAGAGGTTACCTGTTCTTGTTCTCTTTAAATACAAGCAGTGTATTCATTTTGCGCTTATTGTGGTATATAATGTAAGATGTTGCTCTAAACCTAATTTTTGCCGAACTGCTTTCCATTTTCCTAGCAGTTCTTGTGAAAAAGCAGTCCTTTCCTCAGTGATTTATGTATTTGAGTTTATCAAACACTGGGCTACTGTTCTCAGTTGTTTATGGTCTGTTCCAATGATACACTTCTTTTTTAGCTAGTTTTAAATCGTTTTAATGATTACTACTTTGTAGTGTAGTTTTGAGTTGAATTGTCCTCTTCATACATTTTCTCGTTATTTTCTTTGAGATTTTAAGCCTTATTTTTAAAAATTAATTTATTTTGAATTATCAGCAATCACTTCCATAAGCTTTTGAGTTTTAAATTTTTCTTCCCCCTCCCTCCCCACCTCTCTTCCTAAGACTGCATGCAATCTGATATGGGCTATACGTATGCATTCCTATTAAACATATTTTCACATTAATGATGTTGTAAGTAGAAATTAGAACCAATAGGAGGAACCACCAGAAAGAGGAAACAAAAGACAACAGAAGAAAAAAAAATAGCAAATAGTATGTTTCGATCTGCATTCAAACTCCATAGTTCTTTCTTCTTGTGTGGATAGCATTTTCCATCACGAGGCCTTTGGAGATGTCTTAGATTCTTGTATTGCTGAGAAGGGTTAAGTCTGTCAATATTAGTCCTTGCACAGTGGTGGCTGTTATTGTGTACAACATTCTCCTGGTTCTGCTCACTTCACTCAGCATCAGATCATATAAGTCTTTCCAGGTTTTTCTGAAGTCTGCCTGCTCATCGTTTCTTATAGCACAGTAGTATTCCATTACATTCATATAATACAACTTGTTAGCCACTCCCCAATGGATGGGTACCCTCTCAATTTCCAATTCTTTGCCACCACAAAAAGAGCTGCTATAAATATTTTTGTACATATGGGTCCTTTTCCCATTTGTATGATCTCTCTGAATATAGCCCTAGAAGTGCTGTTACTGGGTTAGAGGGTATGCACATTTTTATAGTCCTTTGGGCATAGTTCCAAATTGATCTCCAAATGACTGGATCGTTTCACAACTCCAGCAACAACGCATCAGTGTTCTAATTTTCCCACATCTTCTCCACATTTATCACTTTCCTGTTTTGTCACGTTGGCAAATCTGTAGGTGTGATGTGGTACCTCAGAGTTGTTTTGGTTTGCGTTTCTCTAATCAATAGTGATTTAGAGCATTTTTCCATATGACTATAGATTGTTAAGCCTTATTTGTCTTGCAAGTAAATTTTGTTATTTTGTCTAGTTCAGAAATATATCACCTTGATCATTTGGCATCGTACTAAATTTGTAAATTAATTTAGGTGGTTTTGTCATTTTAATTTTATTTGTATAACCCAAACTTGAGTTTGCAAAATGGCTCTGATTATCTCTCTCTGTTTTTGTAGTGTTTTCTAGTTATTTATCTGAATCTTAGATGTGTCTTGGTAGGATAATTCCCAGCTAGGCATGCATCATTTCCCTCCCTCATTTCTCTTTCCTTCCACTATGTTGTGAGCTTTTATAAAGTATTGAATTATCAGCATTTCTATCCTCTCTTAAACTATGTTCAGTTTACCATAGGGTAAACAGAACCATGAAACGTTAATTTGTGATCTATTGTTTTAAACGGTAAAATTAAAAGACATTTCTAATTAATTTCTCAGGAACAGCTTGCTACTCTGAAAAGTACTTCAAATGGTCAGTAGTAAAATGGTGCTCCACAATTAAAGTTATCCCTTCCATATCCTGACTCTCCCCATCATGGTTTCTATGTATTGTGGGTCAGCATAAGAAATTAAATGGGAATTTGGGGGACTTTAAAGAAGCTGCAGACAACACAGGAAGGCCAGCCTATGACCAAATACTTAACTCATATTTTACAATAACATGCTGTATATACTCCATAAAAGAAAAAGAAAACTTCAGGTTTCTTCTCTGGTACAAAGGGAAGGCCAAAAATTTCTACTCGGATTTTCCAGATTGAGGGGTGGTGTGCTTCCAACCCTCATGATGTGGAAGAGAGAACTGTATTAACCACTGACAAGTGGGTTGGAAAAAAATAAAGAAAAGGAAAATGTTTTCCTTTACTGACTCATTTAGTCAAAGGTGTCTTTGTTTTCATGTATGCATTTCCAGTGGTGCATATTGCAGTTCCCTCATGCCTGCTTATCCTATGCTTTTTTTCAGGGTTATGCTGGAGCCAGCTCTGTTGTCTTAAGCAGATTGTTAGATTTTCAGTATGAATATTTACACCGCAGAAATCAGCAAACTACAAATCCGGACTTGATTTCTTGTTTTGTCGATTGTCTACTCCGGACTTAAAGTGATGGAGAAAATTCTGACAATGCAGATGAAACTTTAAAAGTACCATGCACGAATTCTTCCCTCCCCTTCCCCAGAGCCAGTTGTTAAAACATTTACCAATAAATCAATAAACAGTAAGCACCTACTGTGTACTAGGCAGTGTGTTAATAAGAAGCAGTGGAGATACAAAAAGAGGCAAAAGCTCGTTCTTGCTCTTGAGCTTACACTCTAAAGAGGGAGACAACGTATAAACAACTGTATAAGTTATGTACAGGATATATGGGAAATAGTTAACAAAGGGAAAGAACTAGAATTGAGAGAGGCTGAGAAAGGCTTCCTATAAAAGATAAGATTTTAGTTGGGACTTGAAGGAAGCTAGGGAAGATGGTAGGTGGCGTGGAGGGACAGCATCTATAGAAGGAGTTTCCACTCGGGAGTTCTTCATACTTGAAAAAATCATGGGTCCAGATTAAATATGCCTCCTGCCTCCCACACATAAAAGTTTGTAAACCGCTTTTTGAAAAACAACCCTTTGAGGTAGGTAGTACAAGTCTTAATTAGTATCATCACCCCTCTCTTTAAAGGTAGGTACCTGAAGCATGGTGGAGTTATGTGAGTTGCCCAGCAAGGTTCTGATTTGGAATTGACACTTCCTCTTTCCTGACTCAGGTCAGTGTTCTTTCTCCAGACCCTCCCATTCCCACTACCAGAAGTCCTCTCAGTGTGCTGTGAGTGTGACACCAACATGGTGCACAGCTGACAGTTCTCCATCCCTGCTTTTTGTCATATAACCAGTCTCTTAGGCCATTTTTTCCCACTCATACATTATTTTGGATGTTGAATAATTGAAAGAAGAAAAATCAAGGAAAATGTTTTCTAAATGTGTATTTCTTCCTCATCTCGGCACAGGTTTACATGTATTCAGGGAGCATGAAAATTATAGATTCTTAGTTGTAGATCTGGATGAGACTTTTGTGTGGTCTAACCCCTTATTTTAAAAGGCTCAGAAAAGTTAAGTCACACACAGGTAAGTGGGAAATCTGGAAATTGAACTCAGATCCCTGACTCCCAAATCTAGCATTATTTCTTCTATACTAGATTTGTAATCATATTTTCAGCTGTATTTGTTCTTCTGTTGCCTTCAACAGAACCTTACAGAAGGGGAATTAACTTATATTTCCCCATGCTGATTTCTTAAATGTTTTTTTTTTTTGAGGAATCTTATTTCTGAAGTGAATTTTATGATTAGTGTTCCAAAAAATAAAAAACATAATAATGAAACAATTTTGACACAAACTCTTAGAAACAGTTTAAGGTAAGGCATGTTCTCTGGACTTGCTGAAGAATCCACAAATTTTCTATTTTTTTCCTATATTGCCAATCCTCAGCTTACTAGATTGTTGGTCATTCTCACCTGGAAAATTTTCAGTGGCTCCATGTTTTCCTGTAGACTAAATTCCTTACCTTGGCATCTGAAGGCCTCTGTATGTTGGTTCCAGCCAATTCTGTGTCTGTGTCTCACTCCCCATCTAATTTCTTCCAGCCAAACTCATCTGCTTTCTGCGGTCTAACCTCAGCATTCCATCTCCTACCTTGTGCCTTTGTAGAAGCTGTGATCCATGCCTCACATGCACTCTTTCACCTACATTTCTTAGAATATACTCAATTTCCCTCATGGCTGAGCTCAGATGCTGCCTCCCAGGGAGTTTCTCCCTGACCTCCCTAGTCAGATTAGCTTTCATTTACTTTATCTGTTTCCATGTTATATTTCCATGGCAGGCAGCACTTAGGCCTGTGACTCCTACAGAGTGGGTGCTTAATAATATTTGTTGAATTTGAATTGAAACACATTTTGGAATAGGAAAGGGATGAAGAAGTTTGAAAAATTCTCTAACTTCAGCAGTCCTTTTGTCTGGCTGTAGTGGTGTCTTGTGGGTAGTTGCTGGGAAAATAAAGATGGAAAAACAACTCATCTGTTTTCAAGGAATTAACTTTACAACATTAATAGTCTAGTTGAGAGAGAAAACCACCCAAGGAGCTGTAAGTTAGAGTGATAAGTTACAGGAAGAATCAAGTGTGGTATGAGAGATGTAACTGGTGGAATCAAGAAAGACCTCTGACATGAAGTGGAGCTTCAAGGAAAAAGCAAGACCTCTGTAGAAGAAGCAGAAGGAATGTGTGGCAGTCTTCCTATTCCTAGTAAAATGATTTGATCTTTGATGAAAATTTTTTGTTCTTGATCAGTCTATTCAAAAAACCAATTCATTTAGAGCAAGACGAGAGGCATTGACCAAGCTTTCCAAGGGTCCCGATGCAAGGGACACCCCATGTCATCTCTGGTCAGTCACTGCCACCAACCAAATGAATTAGAAAGGGAGTGTTCTGAACAATGGGCAGTTTGGGGGATATGCGTTATTGACACATCCTTTGCTAGTGAGTTCCTCAGAGTCGAAAGCTTCTTTCCCACAGTGTAAGGGAATGTATTGGATTTAGCAGCCCTGGGTTCATGTCCTAGCTGCCCCCACTCACTAGCTGTGTAACTTGGAGCAGACAGGTCGCCGGAAGCTCCTTATGTGGAAAAGGAAGGGCTTGGACTGATGACCTGCCTTCTTTCTAGCTCGAAAATTCTGTGCAGGTTGATAAGTTACAAATTCATGGCTCACTTAATTCCTTTGGAATAGCTAACACATCTGTTTTTGTCTGTTTTAACATTTTTCTCTCAGGCGTGGCAACTTACTGTGAACCCTCAGGGATACTTCATTTGTTTATTTTTTGTTTTTGCCTCCAGGTTCAACCCTTCCTTTCAAATAAAAACTGGCCCTGGAAGTCATCGAAAGGGCAGACTGTTGACCCCCCCCCTTCACTGCTTCCCCAGTGTCTCCTGAGAGAGTTTCTCTCCTTGGGGCCCATCAGTGCTTGTGACTTGCAGCTCATTCGGTCTTTGCTTTCTTCCAGAGCATGCACTTAAATAATAACCTGCAGTCATCCTCTTTCTGATGGTCTAATGCAGCCATCCAGTACAGACTGAATGGTTCTGCGGGGCTTTGGTACTTTGCTCTTTGCTCTCCTCTTGCTGTCTTCCTTAACTGATGTTCTGTTGTGTTCTGTCAGTTCACCCTTGTCTATTGAGGCAGTTCTCTGCCATTATGACATTCATCCCTAAAACATGCTTGGGATTCAGCATCTGTAAAACGTTTTTTGGTCTTCAGGAATCATATGAACAGCTCATGTGTATGTGGTGTTTTTTGTTTATTCTGGAGGTAGTAAGGATTAGGTGACTTGCCCAGGGTCACACAGCTAGTAAGTGTTGGAGATTGGATTTGAAGACACATCCTCTGGACTCCAGGGTTGGTGCTCTATCCACTGGGCCACCTAGCTGCCGTGTGTGTGTGTGTGTGTGTGTGTGTGTGTGTGTGTGTGTGTGTGTGTGTGTGGTGTTTTAGGATTTACAGAACATTTTACTCACAGTAGCATTTCACAAATGCAAAAAGGTCCAGAGACATAAAGTGACTTAACAGCTAACTAGTGTGTCTGGGACTAGAATTCAGTTTCTCCTGACTGCCAAGTGTAGTGGTTCTTTCTTATACTGACATTGCCCCATGTTTAGGATGAAGCAGTTTACCACATAGGTCAGTATTTATAGCCCCACAGGGTTTAGAGTTAGGGATCTTATTTTACAAATGAGGAAACTTAGGTCCCAAGATGACAGGTGATTTGGCCAGGATCACAAAAACTCCAAACCATATCTTCTGCCTTCATGTACTTTTTACTACACCACCAATGTTTGTTTTTGGCAGCTGCACTGATATTGTTGGAATATAGGCATATTTTGATAAAATATGCCATATAAATTTAAACTCTTGGCCAACAAATTACTGCTTTAGATGTTTTCCAAAGATATCAGAGAGTTTGCCAAACATGAAAGTAGGGTTGATAACAGTTGATAAAGATACAAGGTATGAAGGGCAGTTACTGTTTATAAGGTTCTGAAAAATATGACTGTTGAGCCTATTTTAAATTTCATTCATTGGACAGGTTCACTTTTTTTAATATGAAAGGGAAAACTTCACATCAATTTAACACCTGAATTATTTTAAAATATATAGCTTAAAGTATCCATGAGTCTTAATCAGTTTAACTTTCCTGGTGAAGTAGTAATAAAGTACTGTACAAAGGGGAGTTGCGTTTATAGCTTAGTACGTGCAGTGCAAATATCGTCCATACTTGGAGATAGGGGAGACTGAAGCTCATTGGGGTTGGGGCTTGCCCATGGTCAGATAGCTAACAGATATTAGAAGTGGGACTTGAACTCAATCGTTCTTTCTTCAAGGATTTATTGATTTCATCAGAACCCTCTACCAGTACAGACCATAATCATTCCCTTGTATATGATCTTCATTAATTGCTATAGCCAAAAAAAAAGGTCATAGTGTGAACCTTTCCAAATGGAGCTATGCTAATTCTCCCAGGACAGACACAATCTGTCATCAGATTACCTGCCAGAGTTTGTGCCTCTACTTTTCCTTAAACCCTGTTGGAGATAGCCCAAGGCTCTTGGGAATAGTAGTGGCCTCCAGACAACTGGTTTTGTTTCACCCTTAGCTTTGTAGCCAGCAGTCATTGAGGGGAGAAGTCACTGTGCAGAAGAGCCCCCCCTTTAAGGGGCAGCTAGGTGGCCTGATGGATAGAGCTCTGGCCTTGGAGTCAGGATGACCTAAGTTCAAGTCACTTAACCTCAACTGCCTCACCAAAAAGGAAAAAGAATTGATTGTAGTTCTTAGGGGCGGCTAGGTGGCACAGTGGATAGAGCACTGGCCCTGGAGTTAAGAGGACCTGAGTTGAAATCCGGCCTCATGCTTGACACTTCCTAGCTGTGTGACCCTGGGCAAGTCACTTAACCCTGATTGCCTCACCAAAGAAAAAGAGAGAGAGAGAGGGAGAGAAGAGCCCCACTTCCTTGCCACCGTTAATGCCAGTTGCTGACCAGTGGTTAGCAAAGGACATGTAGCCTGGGAGTGGCAATAGTAAGCAGACTGTTGGTCCTACTGTCAACCCAGCCCCTGCAGCCATCATCCTGGGAAGCAGCC